GAAAAAGTGCACTTATATAAACTAAATTTAAAAGTTTTAGTTGAGGGAGAGAATGTTGAAAAAAATGCATGTTTTTACATTCCTATTAGTTAATTTGAATTACCTTATTATCTACAAAGCTTATAAATGTCGGATATAATACATACGGATTTTTTACCTATTATCTGGGGAAGCCAATAAATATTGAGTTTAATATACAAGAATTCATGACTATCTTTTTACTATAACTTGTTTATTTAAAAGTTGATATATTAGCCGAAAATTTAGATCAAGAAATTCATATCAACATCTACTTTGCCTCTCATTTGAGTTTATTCTTATTTTATTCTCCTTTAGTTTCAACACAAGCAACCTTCATTCTACTTCGCGTAATAACCGTATAGACATAAAAAGAGTCAGTAGTATATTGACCTGTTTGAGCAAGTCAAGACAAGACCCAGATAAATCGACTTAAATTTGTAACCTCCATTTGTCAAGCGGCTTAAGTCCTTGACAAATGGGTTTCTTTTATATCTTTATAGCATTAACTCATCTATTCTCACTTATTTTCTTTCAAAATAGAAAGCACTTAAGAGAGAGAAATAAAAAGGTAAAGAAAAGTTGTAGAAAGAGAAAAATAAGAAGAGAGACTTCTATAGAGAGAAGACTCCAAAAAAAAAAGTGAGTTCGCTCAAAATAACTCTCTCATCAACAAAGAACGTTGAAGCGTAATTACATGTCGAAACGAAACAAAAAAAAAAAATAGTTATTTTTATATTTTAATAAAATAATTAAAAATTATATTGTATATTTATGTCACCTGGAAATTATGGCGGTTGATACATGAATGTTTTTTTTAAAAAAAACTTAAGTTATATGATTACATTAATAGTTAGGTAGAATAAATATAAACGCTATCGAAGTCCGATAACTAAGATGAATTACTCGTGTAGTTTTTTTAAAATATAAAAAGTAAATTGACACAAAATTAATCAAACAAAAACAATAATACATAAACAAAAAAATTAGAAATTGGGATTAAAAAAAAAGATAATTTTCAACGACAACCAACTTTCTATTTAATTTTTTGATAAAAATAAAATTAAAAATTAAAAATAGATGCTCTTGAGATATAAATTGTATTGTAGGTGGTAAATAATACTTTTGATAAGTAATTTTGTTAACTTTTTATTTTATTAATTTATAAATTAAGTATTTTCAAAATAAAAATATAATAATATAATTAATTAATGATAATATCATATTGTATATTTAACCTACTTTTTTCAAAAATAATAATAATAATAATAATAACTAAGCACTACCACAAGTTAGTTAATGTTTGAAATTTCTGAAAGACATATGCTTAAAGCAGTGGAATCTTTTAACTTAATAAAAAGTAAACAAAATATTATTTAAAAATTACACTTAAAATAAAGTATTAATTGCAAATTTTGAATTTT